AAGTGAGTTCCATTTATGAGATTCGGTTCAATGAATGCGTTTTCTTGTAAGAATTTCCGAACTATTCTGCACGTATTTAAAATGGTGACTTTTTCTATAGTCATATATGTATTTTTAAGCAGTTCAATTTGTTGTAATTAATGATGAAGGTGTGTCGGTACTATACCGTGCTGGAGAGCACCAGGCACAATATATACTTTTTCCATCTTCCAGAATCTGATTATTTCCTCTTTTAAATCTGTATATTTATGTTATTATTATTTATTTATTTAATTTCAAAGACATAACAGACATTTAATAATAAAATGAATTCCTACTAGAAAATTGTATGTTGTCAGTGCACACAATTTAAATGTAATTATTATGGGGGTTAGCATATTGCCATAGACGAATCAAATCTCAATACCAATTTAGTATTGTTTTTATAATAACTATCGTGACACATACTAAATTAAGTAAAAACGCGGGTTACTCACGTGAATATACTGAGGAAAGCTCTACTAGTTTCGAACCACAGAGTGGTTCTTCCTCATGAGCAGCGTGCGCGGTCGCGGCGACGTCGCGCAGCTCACTGTGAGCAGATATTCACGTGAGTAACCCGCGTTTTTACTTAACCAATTTATTATTTTTAAGTATCAGTACCAACCTACAATTAATTTTAACAGTTTAATTCAACCCAGCCTTTTTGTTATATATTTTTTTCTCTATTTTGATTATTAAGGATTTATCAAAAATGACAATGTCACCTGTACTTACTAACTTATAATCTACGCTTAATAGCTAAGTTAACTATTCTATACACTATTTAGTATTTAAGCCATCTTTGATGATGGGTTACTAAGGACTATGTATGTTACATTAACCGAACTCACTAAAACTGACATTGTGTTCATGTTGAGTGTGACTTTTTCAGGCTCATTCCTGACACATTGTGCTACATATTATATTTTTTAGTATCATCTTGATATTATTTGATATAGTTCTTTTTAAATGGGCTCTACAATTTATAATTCATACAGTTTTGTAAATCGTTTTTTTTTTAAATCATATAGTTATCTCATAGTAAAGAAAACAAAAAAAAAAGGTTTTGTCTAATTTGATTATAGTTTTAAATTTTTACTTAAAAATCTCCTATTACTATTGGGAAAATATCGTCATTGTCCTAGAGTTGTGGACCTAGAATTTCATGAAAATAAAAATTAATTATTTTATATGGTTAATTTCTCTGAACTGAAACTATTACAGTAAGTATTCTAGTTTCTTTTTTATAATCATTATAGCTATAATTTATCCAGTGCTATTTATAGCAAAAAAGCTTCAGTTTAATTAGGCAATATCTTCCATACATGGCTGTTCATGTAGTGGGGTAAGTGGCGACACGGCGCCGCGCCCGCCAAAGCAAGCGGGAACGGTCATTGACCCGACTGGTACACCCCTAAACCGTTATCGGCGATATAAGGAAACCCGCTGAAGGCTTTGCGGAACCTTGTAGATGCACGGTTCAGTTATAGCTCGTTAGCTGGCTAATCACTTTCGTAGAAAACGCATTATCATCGAATAATGTCCCCAATTACTTACAAATGCCTTTTTCTAGTAAATATGACGAAATGTTAAATCAAAATATTAGGTTTGAAAGTACATTCTTGTGCGGGAGTGCAATACCTAATTAGATATACAACGCATCGCACAATATACGTAGGTCTAAATAAAATCATCTAGTTGCCATCAAACTGGCCATAGCTTATTGTTTTCCGCTTAAGTATAAGTGGATCCAACTGATGATTTATGCATGTTCGTATGACCATCAAATGTGACTAAATAAGCGAATGAATGCTTACGATATCACAACTTGAATCATCACTTGCTCGGTTGGAGTTGTTAATGACGTAATTTACTCGACCTACAGAAGCACCGGTTTGTCTTAAACTCTTGGAGGTCATTTTTAAATTCTTAGCCGAAGTTTTGAGATGTAATTGTAATTGATCAGAGGTGAATTTTTAACTAGCATATTCTGAATAAGGGTCTTTTTCACGAAAAAAGCGTTAATTACGTACATTTACAGGTAACTAATTAAATGTGTTCACCACAGATATAATATTTTAATATTTCTGTGGTGTTCACAGTTGTTATTTTTCCCCTTTACTTAGAAATAAAGTGGATCAAGGCTGAGTAGCGAATTCTATGCAATTTCATTGATTCATCTATTGATGTCTGATGAATTATGATACAGTCCAATGGATTAATTCTATGGATTTCTTCTAATGATATGCTTCACTTGCAGCCCTTCTTAAAATACCTGTAGTTTCTATTGACGTCTTGCTAACTATATACGACCCTCGTTTCTGAACGTATACTAAAGACTGCATCAATTTTTGTAGCAGTTTTGTATTTTGGTTATGTATACAAATACGCGATAATTTCTAAGTTAGATTTTAATCACCTATCTAAGTAATATTTATATAGTTTCTTTAATATTGTATACATAACTAGCTTCTGCCCGCAACTTCGTACGCGCAATCCCATTTTCCCCCCGTTCCCGTTTGTAATTTTCGGTAAAAAGTAAAAAAAAGTATTCTATAAAAAGTATCCTATGTCCGTCTCCTGGTTCTAAGCTACCTCCCTGCCAAGTTTCATCCAAATCGATTTAGTCGTTCTTGAGTTATAAATAGTGTAACTAACACGACTTTCTTTTATATATATAGATTATTGTTATATGTAAGTAAGTATAAATTTTCAAGTTAATTCAAGTTTCAAGTCAAGTTAATATACCTATAGTGTTTATTGAATGTTATGATTGTGAGATTTGTTATTTATTATACTGGTACCTACATAGCCTATTTATAAAGGTTTAAATTCACCTGCTACTTTCATCTCTGCACTGCTTAAAGGTTGATAAGGAGACAATGCTCAAGGCATTAAGTCCACCTGTACACATTTGTTATATTAAGTTGAAATAAAAAATAAATAAATGGACTAGGTATATTCTAATAATACACGGATCCAAACCTCAGAAATCTAAATTTTATGCACAACCGTGTCTATTCGATAGTCCATGTCGCATAAATGTTATATTTTGATGAGTGTATTGAGTATTGATTCCCAGAAGAAACTGTGACGGCTCTTGTTGTATCACTCGCTGACGAAGTTATTTTCTGTACAATTAGTCACGCGTGTATCCGGCGCGCGCGCACGTCGTGTCGTGCTAAACACAATAAATTCGAAAATAATTGCAAAAAAACATTGAGACTGATTAAAATAATTAGTGTAATAGGTGGTATTTAAAAAGTAGTGTGATATGAGATAATAGTATTATGGTTAGTGATATCTTTTTATTTTTGTTTTAAGGGTCGTAAATGAATGGACCTTTAACAAGTTATAAGTGTAAAACACCCTTTATTATAAACAGTTTTAAAGTAGAAAACTGTGATTGTGCATTACCTACCGAGTGTGTGATTTAACCCCAGTGATAAGTGACTTATCAGTTACTGTTTTAAATGTGTAAGTGCAAATAATGTAGGATACTAATGTATAGAAATTTTGAAATGAGTTTATCTCATTGTTGCTGCTTATTAAATTCGTAACCATATATTATATTATGAACGTACCGTTGCATAACACTAACGTTATTTTTTAGAAAATATATCTTTACCGTACCTAATTAAATTGCTAACTAACTGCAGTATATTGTGTATAAATTCGCTCGGTTTGAAACTGTGTAAGAATTACAACAACACAACCCAGATCACTCATTTGACTCCTACCTACATCTAGGTATGCTTTATGCGGAAAGATAAGCATTTATGAGTTTACACCTCATAACATCTCAAGTCAACAAGGTGAACACATGGCCGTATTTAGCCTTTGCCAGGTCGTTATGTGACTACTGACAGCGCTAGTTGATCTGACATATCATAGAAATGATTAATATAACGGTATACTTATTATTAATCTTAGCTAATAGAAAGTTAAAACCAAAGGGCTCTAGACACCAAGCGTCTTATTTAGTAAAACATTTTTGGATAGGAATACGAAACATGCATAATAATCTCAGACGAGGCGGACTGGATATGATAAAGAGCGTAGGCGGCGCCCTTTCTCACTCGGTGCGGCCGCCTACATAGGTAGCCATATGTTCCGACCGTATCGTAACGTTTACTCAACGCTATTTACTACCTGAGAACCGATGACGGCGTCGTACAATCATTCATGGTTTACAGCTAATACTGTGAGTGGTTTGTAAATATCGTCATCGAAGTTAGCTATGCAATTTTTATTTATAGGTTTACTACTAATTTCCATTATTCTAACCCAACATTTGTTACTGACCTACTCTAAAAATGTACGGAAATATAGTTACTGCAATTAGGTACTTCACGACAAGTCAAATCAAAACGACACATTTTGTTAAATTATTTATAAACAACAGTAGGTACAATACAAATAACCTAAATTTTCATAGGTACAATAGGGCGTGACGATAATATTGTTGGTTATTGTATCATCATCAGCGAAGTCGTTCACTGTTGTACAAAGGCCTCTCCCTTTTAGTCCTCCATAATAAATATACAACTACACTTGCATACAACAGCATGTGTTTATAATCATGCATTAAGTGCATGGCGTAAATTTTTGCAACCTTCCACGAGTTTATGTAACACTGTAATTGCACTAAATTACAAAAACTATTGTATTACGTTCGAGCATAAAATAAGATTTCCTGTCGTTCTGACCTTAAATACTAGGTCATGCAAGTAGAAAGTTACATATGAGCACGCTAAAATGCTTGTTAAAAACACACTGTCGAAATAACCCAGGCAATGTTCAAAATATATGTAGAGTGTCTATGCGTTTAGAATTCTGAATGGCGTTAAGTACTGGTAGTGATACTAAATATTGAAACATAATCTGTGTCTGCAATAATGTTACCCATTTGTTTACCTACAATAAACTTTGTCTTGTTACAGAACTTGATCTGATTACGAATCTTAATTAATTACAAAATGTATGTACATCGATCGACTGTTTTACGACTGTGTGTGTGGGTGAGCCTGTTGGCGCTATGTGGGGCCCAACGCGCAGAACAACTCCTGGCACAGAATCCGTGCTCCAGCAAGACGACGTGCAGTGACTGCATCCGCACGGCCAGCTGCGCGTGGTGCTTTGCAGCAGAGTTCAATGGCCCACGATGCTTCAACCCGGCCATGGAGAGAGATGGCACCGCGGGATGTGAAGAATCCTACATATTTAACCCAGACAATAAACGCTCTGTCGACCCCATGTACAATATGGAGCTGAGCAGAGGTAACCCCCTTACTTACTCCTCCCAACATCTTTAGGTCGAGTTTTTTTTTAAATTAATTTAATAACATCGTGAATACTGTTTTCAGCAAAGTCCAGAATGGGTATGGCTTCTGGCTCATCTTCTTTTGAAGAGTCTTACAGTGCAAAGGGCAGCAGTTTTGCTGCTTCAGGATCGGCAGCAGCCGCAGGTGGTGAGGCTGGTGGCGACAGACTGGTACAGATGAAACCTCAGAAAGTGAATCTCAACCTAAGAATGAGTAAGTGTTATGTAAAAGTATAATGTTTATTATGAAGCAGAAATGGTTGTTGGAACTTGTATACATGTAGTGATATAACTCAACTAGTTATGATAAACAGTTAACGTTCAATGTCATCATTCAGGACTAATCAATTCAATTCATCTATGACACAATTTCCTGATGAGTGTCGTTATTTACACTACATAATTTACATTTAAAATACGTTTCTATTTTTAGATCAAATGCAGAAACTTACATTTGCGTACTCCAGAGCTCAAGATTATCCTGTTGACTTATATTACCTTATGGACTTGAGTAGATCTATGAAAAACGACAAAGAGAAACTCAGTACACTTGGAAGTTTACTGTCTGCTACTATGAGGAACATGACATCCATGTTCAGGATCGGATTCGGCTCATTTGTAGACAAACTAGTCATGCCTTATGTATCTACAGTGCCTAAGAAGTAAGTAAATGATATTCATTCAAAACCATTCATTAATTCTAGGCGTTATTGATCGAGACGAATCAATTTTTTAACGTTTACTATTTTCAGTTTGATATCACCCTGTGACGGTTGTGCAGCGCCATATGGTTACCAAAATCAAATGTCTCTCAGTACTGACACTGACTTCTTTGAGGTGAGTTAACAATTATGATAATTCCATGTTGCATTTTCAGAATGTAATTAAAAACGAATAGTTAATTATCATGTTGCCTTTCTCGTACAGAAAGCAGTAGCTAACGCTGACGTGTCCGGTAACTTGGACGCTCCCGAAGGAGGGTTCGATGCTATCATGCAGGCCGTGGTCTGCAAGCAACAGATCGGCTGGCGAGACCAGGCTAGGAGACTTCTTGTCTTCTCCACAGACGCCGGATTCCATTACGCTGGCGACGGAAAGGTATTTATTTTGGTGCATTTGTTTTCAAAAGTAAAAGTCTAAATTAGGTCACTCATGTTACGTAGTGTTACGTCAAAATAATCATGAAATATAATACTTCAAAGTTCCGGTACCTATTGCAATTGCAGCATATCACGCATGTTGTACGTAGTTTTGTATTTTTTAATCATTCACATTTCATTGCAGCTCGGTGGTATCGTCCAACCTAATGACGGCGAATGTCACATGAAGGACAACACGTACACACACTCGACACTGCAGGATTATCCCAGTATTTCACAGATTAATCATAAGGTTTGTATTTAGATGCTATTCAGTACAATTTAAAAGAATTTTGAAATGAAATCTAGTTTTACCTCCTTTTTGTGTATAGGTGAAAAAGCACGCTATCAACGTAATCTTCGCGGTGACGGCGGAGCAGATCAGCGTGTACGAGCAGCTAAGCAAGCACATCGAGGGTTCCAGTACGGGAGTGCTGAGCAACGACTCCGATAACATCGTCGACCTCGTCCGGGAACAGTATAACGTTAGTCACTATGTCGTTGCATTGCACTTATTCATTACTCCGCTCGTTATCACGGGGAACAACCTAACATATTGTTTGAAACTTATAACTTAAGTCTTAATATTGTTCTGGCCTATTTCCAAGTAGGTTAAGGTTAGAACGAGGTCCTTACGAGAATCGACTGAATATTTTTCCTGTTGTTTACCAACTTTATTGTTCACAACAGAATATTAGTGGCAAATAATATTGTCTACTATTTGCATTACCTTGGTTATAATTTTAAAAAAGAACAAGATAGAAGATTAGTAAAACACATATTTATTATTTATATTTTAATATTTAATAGATTTCCATTAAATTAAATTAAAAGATACATTATGTGAATACCTGAATGAATGTTGACCTTGACCAATGCTTTCCTGGCTGACGATTTTCACACGTTTTTCATAAAGTAGCAATCACTTTACGTTTTATTGTAGGTACAAAAATATACACTATGTTTTTGTTACACAGAAAATTACGTCAACAGTAGAAATGAAAGATTCATCAAGTGACGCTGTGCAAATAGTGTATTACTCATCTTGTCTCAGCGGCAAAGAACTCACCCAGACGAACAAATGCGACGGATTAAAGGTAATTTATTGTTTAAATATTTTCTTTTTTCGAGCAAGTATGATTGCTGACCTTTCTAACAAAGAAAAGAGGCCATTAACAAGCCATTGTTTTTTAATGACACATCCTCCAACTCATGTTTATAAGGATCAAAAAGGGAGTGATGAGTCTTGACGCTATGATATCAATGATATGAAATTAAATTTTAATATTATTTATTTAGGTCGGCGATGTCGTGGAATTCACAGCTGAAATCACATTGAAAGAATGTCCGAAAGACCGCAGCAAGTGGAAGCAAACTTTCGAGATCTCCCCCGTCGGTATCTCTGACAGTCTCACTGTTGAACTGGAAATGGTCTGCGATTGTCCTTGTGAACAACCTAATCATCATGTGAGTAGTCCAATTACCCTCACTATACATTATAATATTGTGAATCTGAATGTGTACCTACATGCAATGAATCCAAAGTTCCACATTAGTTTGTTTTAACACCATTTCGATGTGTAATACAGCACTAACGGTGTATATTGTGTCAGGCGTACAACGACAGTCCGCTGGTGTGCAGCGGCGAGGGCGTGTCTGCGTGCGGGGTGTGCGTGTGTCGCGCGGGGCGCTTCGGCAAGAACTGCGAGTGCTCGGCGCACGGCGGCGTGTCGGCCGAGCAGGAGCGCGGCTGCCGGCCCACCAACGCCAGCGCCGGCCCGCTCTGCTCCAACCGCGGCACCTGCATCTGTGGCGTCTGCGAGTGCAACAAGATGGACGACCCGCTTAACGTAATTACCCACCCTTGATTATTCTACCTCAGCCTATATTATCATGACCCGAGCGTAAGTTGCGGTGCGGTACGCGTTCCGCTCGCCATCAGTACACTCACTCACTAGGGCCGATGACATATCGCGACACGGCTCGGATCAGAACTTGGAACGGAATGGTTTTTATCAATAAGAGACACTATCTCTGGCTTCATCTAGGACGAGAGAATTGAAAGAAAGGTGTCAACGATACAATTTTAATTTTTATGGGAGAAGCCCGCCACAACCTCCCAAAACCGCTGCATGTCCTGTAAGGCAGGATCTACAGTAGATCTATGAAAACAGCGGAACACTGAAGTCCCGTGCGTTCCAGGGACCTGAATAGCTGTCTTGGTTCCCGCAATGAAATAAATCAGAAGATATTATAATAGAAGAAAAAAAAACGACAATTTCCATTTTCCTCGGTTACAATTATATTAACTAATCGCTTTTCTTCAGGTGATTTCTGGCCCATTCTGCGAGTGTGACAACTTCACGTGTGATATGAACAAAGGTTTGCTTTGCTCGGGCCCCGACCACGGCGAGTGTGTCTGCGGCAAGTGTAGCTGTACTCCAGAGTACACCGGACCAGCCTGCCAGTGTTTGAAGGACCAAACTCCTTGCCGGTCTCCTGGTTAGTAACATTGCTGATGAACACACCTACATAACCTAAATACACAGCTTCTACAAGTCCATTGATGGACTTTGGTTTGCCATTGTCTGCAACGCCACGTCTTCCAGGCGAGCTGGTGATCACAATTTCAAGAATTCGCTCGTTCCTTGTTCATTAAATGGTCATTCGTAGGAATGAGTACGCGGTGTTGACAATTTGTCTGCCGTCATAAAACTGATCAGAAAAAGCCATAAAAAACATTAAAAACATCGTGTATACAAACTGTGTGCATTTCGGTATGGTTATCCTTAACCCGCCATTTTTTTACAGAAAACAACGAAATATGTAGCGGTAACGGAAAATGTGTTTGCGGCCAATGTGTGTGTAATGTAGATGATGATCGTCATTATTCCGGAAAATACTGTGAAAAATGTCCCGTAAGTACCTCTTACATATAGACGTAGTTTCTGTTTCAAGCAAGAAACGTCTATTTCGAAATGTACCTGGATTTATTAGTAAATAACAATATGAACACCAAAATAACACCAATGTGAACAATGAACATGATCTGAACATAATATTTGTTTTCCTCAAGACTTGCCCTGGACGCTGCGGTGAATTCAAAGACTGTGTGTTATGTGAGGTACACAAACGTGGTCCGCTGTACAACGCCGACACAGATACCTGTGGCGACTGTGCGCTCTATCCCATAATCGAAGAAGGCAAAATAGAAGGTAACATTTAGCAACACTTGACTATTTTGATATTGTTTACATGCAAATGAGATAAAACAGACCTTAAAAAGGCGTCTGTTGCCTTTTCTAAATACTACGGTATATTTAGGCCACTTTTTAAATGGATTAAATGAAAATTAAGCTTCAGGACTACGCATTTATATTTGTACTTATTTATTTAAACTTATTTTATATTTAAAGATGGGGTCTTAGTTTGGGCCACCACGACACTGTCGTGTTAAAATAAGGTTCGGGTTCGAAACCTACCAACGGCAAGTACCAATGTGACTTTTACTGAGTTATATATACTTTCTAAGATTATCTAGGCACCACAGACAAACGGTGAAGGAAAACATCGTGAGGAAACCTGGGCTTATAATTTCTAATTATAAGTTTGTAATCGCCAATCCGCATTGAGCAAGCGTGGTGATTAATGCTCAAACGTTCTCCGTTTGAGAAGAGGCTTTGCTCAGTATTGGGCCTTTATAGGCTGTTGAACTCATTTTAAACATATTTTAAAAATGTTTTTGTATTATTGCAGCGAACGAATCTCGAAACGAACATCTATGTAGTTTCTACGACGACGAAGACTGTTTGTATGTGTATGTGTACTCCTACAATGAGAACCAGCAACTTGTTATCAGGGCGCAGAAGGAAAGAGAATGCCCCAAGAAGGTATTTATTATAAGTGACTAGCTTTCCAATTCAAAACCAATAAACATATAATAAACATATTTTACACCTAAACTACCCTATCGTGAATGCTATAAAGTCAAAGTCAAAGTATTTATTTCAATTAAACCATAGTTAGGTACTTTTGAAACGTCAACAAATACAAAATAAATAATAGTCTGTCAGTCAGTCCGTCAGTGAAACTAGGTGAAGCTAGGTGGTCATTCCAAAAAGTAGATTCGAATGGAGAAGAACGAGCAAGAAACTCCATTCGTTACTCTTTTTAAAAAAGTATGTTCTACAATGTCTCTGATACATATTTCAATACTGTACGCATATGTAAGAACAATGCAAAGACACGCTTGACGCATTATACTAATAACTTACTAAAATCCGTATACAAGAAATTCTATACAAGAATCCATCTGATATTTTTTTAATTTATTGCGATCTAATGGAAAAGCTTGGGAAGAATGGTAAAAGGGAATCTTTTTGATACATATGTAAGAATTTCCCAAGGTTTTTAGTATACAGTACTTGATTCCATGTTTTAAGATTCTTAGTTGTTACAGTGAATATGAAAAGACGAGTTACTGTTAAAACAACGCATACGGATTTCTTTTATCACAGGATATTACTCACATTGAATTATAAATAAAATTATGACCACAATTAACTAACGGAAACAATAAATAGGTACTTGTGATCGTAATGTGGCTTAGTAAATATTTTCAGAAAACAACAAGTCTACCAAGTGAAAACAAATGTATCACTGAATTTATTTGTTTTGCTACAAGTTATATTGAAGAGATAAAAATAAAACAGGCATAATTTAATCAATGTTTACTTTTAGAAACTGTCCATTGTTTTCTAGTTATTTGACAATGATTGTATTTATTTGTAGGTGCCGATCTTGGGTATTGTGCTGGGTGTGATCGCTGCGATAGTGTTGGTTGGGTTGGCACTACTGATGTTATGGAAGATGGCGACCACTATCCACGACCGCAGGGAGTTTGCGCGCTTCGAGAAAGAACGCATGATGGCCAAATGGGACACGGTAAGTTTATCATACAAGTTTTCGGACACTAGTGTTCTTGTTTTATGCTGTGAATGCGTTGATCAACACCAATTGAGACACAATGAAAGGCCTGCCTGACACGATATTTTGTTGATCACACACAATCACTTGACTCACGACAACTGCCGGTGGTCCTACCTTTGCGCCATCTTGGGCTATTTTGGAAATTCAAAAAGCTTTGTAATATAATTTTTTCTAATCTGTGTTTTTCTTTCTCAGGGCGAGAATCCTATTTACAAGCAAGCGACTTCAACCTTCAAAAATCCTACATACGCTGGAAAATAATAAATTAATTATACTCAGATTCAAAAAGTCAGCAAATTGAAGTAGTCGTCTCAATACGTACAACTTGTAATGCCGCATTTATAAAGTTATCAAGAAGTCAGTATTTAATATGAAATTTCGTGTTTATAGAATTTTTATCAAAATAGATCATTAGAATCATGTTAAATTAAGAAATGCATTGAGAGTTGCCTTAAAAATGTGCCTTCAGTAACTTATTGTCGTTTGCACAAGTCAGTGCATGAAATGCTTGATAGATGTAGCTTCCTATCATTGAGTTTCTACATAAATAAATTGAAATCTACATTATTGTACAGATGTTTATAAACGCAAATGCACTGTCTGTATTTATGCCTTACATTTATTTTATGATACATATTTTGTCCGAAGGTCTGTTTAATCTCAGGATGTATAATGTATATTGTACGCTTTTTGTACTTATGTGTGAATGAATGTCGTATGTACTTGTGTTCGTGTGTAGCTTCGTCGAATCGAACGTGTCGCGGGGTGCTAGAACCTGTATTTTATATATTACGTATGTGACCATATATGACCATGGTGCGTTCGATAGGTTGTAGTTTAGAGCTTTATAATGTTTATAATATTATTGACGAAAGTAATCCTAATTTACAATACTGACAATATCGGGAATATGTAATACTTAATTCGTTAATTATTGATTGAGTTGACTACAAACTCATTTTTATAAAAAGTATATAAGTCAGTCCGCCGTTGAGTCAATTTAGGATCCCGATATTACAATCCTAAGTGTATTCGTAATACTATTAATATATAAGAGCAAGATACGTATTTATGATATATCTATACTTTAAATATTATTAACTCATGAGTCTCTATTTAATATTTACTCATTCAAGTTACGAACTTTTGTTTGGTCTGATCGAAATGAAGCAATTTAGACACTGCCATTACAATACTATAATGTTAGGCAGAAAGTGAGACGTTATAATCTGCCTTTGATTGTACTTATTGTTGATACTCTGAAGTATGCGTAGAGCCAAAAAATCTCTCAAAAAAGATCTCACGTATTTCGGATTTATTATTTCGTCCAACATTACAATGTATTACGACGGTACGCCAAATGCTCTCAGAGGTAGACAGTGTACTAATACGATAATCCTCTAAAATATAAAGTACATTATGTACATATTCGTTGAGGTAATCTCCGTCAATCTCCAATAGACGTCGTACGTCGTGTTCTACTACGGCGACGGTGACGTTACTAAAGCTTCCTTCATTCGCCCTCGTGCCTTGTTATAACATGAATAATAACTAGTGCCATTACTAATATTATAGTGTGTAAAAGAAAATTATTATTTATTTCAAATATTAAAGTTGATATCATTATGTAGAAAAATAATATTATTGTAATTTAGTGTTGTAAGATTTTATATCGAATAAGCTTTAGTTTTGAGTTTGGACATCCTTTTTAAATATATAGTATTTTTTATTTTGTTATTGTGTAAAATGCCTTTGACTGAAATGAATGTTTTATATGAAATTCAAAAACACTTTGTGAAGTAATGTGTTGCTTATACCTACATATTGGTCCCACCAGTCGTTCCAAATAAAACGCCAATCCTGATGCTAATCGACAAATTGTTTGATACGCCAATTACTTGGAGCAGGAAAATATTCAGTTTCTTTGGTTTCATTACTACCGTAATGAACTGATTGTCTGAAATTATGTCGAATTTGAGTTGGCTTTCTTTTTCTTTTGACCCAATTGTAAATATTTAGTTTTAACATGCAAAAAAATAAGCAGTTGTGGCTTCTAATAGTAGCTAATAAATATTAACACAAATATGTTTCTTTTATTTACATACTCATACTAAGTATTCTCGTTTTCCTATTATTGATATTTCGAAAATACAATTTCAAAGTGTATTTTCGAAAGTTCGAAAGTACCTTTTGAACGCCAGAGCAAAAACACATGAACCTGCCCTCAACGCCAAGCCACAAATTTCGCGCAAATTTCTACGGAAGAAATAGGGATTCCAATAGGGAATCAAATTGTTGATTTCGTGTTTCCGGTTCCGCTTTTTCTGTCATGTATTTGTGTCGTTGGCGTCCAGGGACAGTTTTCACTTGTCACTTATATGTGACATCGGCGCTCAAAAGGTTTAGTACACAAACTAATAAATACCAGACTAAATTCACGGATACAATCACGTTCGCTTTTACATATGAGCGTACGTATAGGCTCCCTCCCTATACTTACTAATATGTATTTGTTGTCACTGTCGTCGTTTCTTTGATGTGCCCAAAATCATATGAATTACTTACACATTAGGCACATGAGTAATCAATAGGTGGTATCCATAGAAACTGATGTGTGTTGCTATTTCAACCCTTATTATGAGATAAGTAGGCATAGTTGCGTAGATACAGTACCTACCATCAAATGTAATTATTTACATGATAGGTTCACAAAACTTTATCAAGACCTGTATAGGGTCTATAGGGTAAGGCAAAACTACAAAGCGCATGTTTAAAGCTAGCTAAGTGAGGTATTATAGACAATATTCTTCCAAAGTTTATATATATATATATTATTTATCAACAATATTGAGAACAGAGTTCCCATCTGACATGGGTGTTCGACTTCGATCTTCGTTTTGCCATGTATACCTGGGGCCATGGGGTTTAAAGTTCACTTCCTTATAATATTTCATTTGTCCTAAACATGTTGTGGACTTGTATCTACCTTCTACCCACGATTTATCATTTTTTTTTTTTTTTTAAATCTTTATTTAATAAGAAGGGCTTTTTTCCGTAGAGGAAAATGTCAGCCCTATTATAGGATACAAAATTCAATACAAAAAATAAAGCAGCTAAACCTTTTGTAGGTTTAACTATTCCTTAAGCTCAAACACAAATTAATTAAACTATACAATTTTTTAGCGTCGGATGACACTGGTGACGCTACAACACTGTTATAAAAACCAATATTAAGGCACTTAAAACTAAAAACCTGATTCCTCTGAGACTCAATACGTCGACACTCATACAAAATGTGTTGCACATCCTCTACAACATCACATACAGCACAATTTGGTGATTCGACTTTACGCATCATGAATCCGAAACTATTAAGAGGCATGTGTCCAGATCGGAGCCTTAAAGCTGTGACGATATCTTGTCTACTCAACCCGCCTTCACCGAACCAGAGGGCACGAGGAAGCGTCGGTTGTATTGTTTTATACCAAATGCCTTTAGTAAGTGACCTTTTGTCAAAGTATTCTGACCATACTTTATAGCAACTTTCTCTTACTAAAGGCAAAAGTTCAGTATGCCACAGAGCACAAGTATAAACCTCCCCGTCAGATCCCGCTTCATTAGCCAACCGATCAGCTTCCTCATTACCCTCCAATCCAATGTGGGAAGGGATCCATTGTATCACAATACTTTTGCCTTTGGCCCTAAGTTCAAAAATAGATCTTAAAATACTGTACGCCAGTGGAAGCCCTCGTACAGATAAACTTGAATGAATTAGGTGAAAAAGAGCACTCTTTGAATCACAAAAGATAACAAACCGGTCACCGTCTAAGGATTGAATATACGACAAAGCTTCCGCAATGGCAATTAATTCTATGTGCATAATTGATAGCTTCGATAAAATGCGTAATTTGAAGCTTATACCTAATTGTGAATCAAAAAATGCTGCACCGTAAAAATTATCCCTTCTTGAACCGTCTGTATATACACAATGATATTCTGAATATAACGAAGATAAAGACTTGCAACAGATTGATTTTAAGTTATAGCTATTATATGATTTTTTTGGTTTGTCTATATGTTCTAAAGTAGTTTTAATGTTCGATAAGTCCATATTGCTGCCCCATGTATCCATAGAGAATAAACCAACACTGTCACTTGTATACACGTGTTCTTGCTTTAAGGCATCATGTGTAGACACTAGAAGAGGTATTTTTTTATTCCTCCAGAAACGATTGCGACTATAAGTATGTAAATTGTCGATCGACTTAACTAACGGAGACTTAAAACTCTTACTTTTCAAATAAAATTTCCCTGCTAAAAAACGACGTCTAACAAATAAAGGGGATAAAAATAACTCAGCTTCCATCACATGAATTGGGGTGCTTTTGATGTACCCACCTATCAACCGTAAACAAATATTTTGCAACCTATCTAATTTAATTAGATGTGTGTTGGCGCTATTGTCGTATAAGAAGCTACCAAAGTCTATACGGCTACGAATCAGTGCTATATATAAGCGCCTTAGGTGCTTGGGGTGGATACCCCATGCCGATCCTACCAAGATCTTAAAGATGTTTATCAACTTGGTAACTCTTTCACACAATTCATTAATGTGTTTATTCCATCGCAGCCCCCTGTCTAGCCAGAGACCCAAGTATTTAACATTATCTACAAGTTGTAATTGAGTACCATTAAGAAGAACGTCGAACACTATCCTACGGAAACCTCTATTAAATAAGCAAATTTTGCTTTTTAAAGGAGAAACTTGCAAGCCAGAATGTGACAGCAATCTATCCATTAAATTAAGTGCACACTGCATTTTAGTTTGACCCTCACTAATCGATAAGCATTGCAAATATATCGCGAAGTCATCAGCATACTGTGTTATGCAAACGTCATCATTCTGAATTTGTGTACATATATTTAACGTTAAATTATTAAATAGTAGAGGCGATAAAGGATCTCCCTGTGACAAGCCTATACCAGCGCATCTATTAATATAAATATTCCCGGATTTAATTTTTAATACTCTTTGGTGTAAGAAATTCCATAAATAATTACAAATAAGTGGTCCTACTCGAAGATTGTTCAAAATATCAATTAAGGCTGTATGGTTTACATTATTGTAAGCATTATCGATATCTAAAAAACAACCCATCGTTAAATACCCCGCAGAAAAACCTGACTGAATGAAGGTTATTAAGTTACTTACGATTTATCATACATGTTTGAATAACATTGACACATCAAAAAAATCGTTT